CAAACAATCATTTTCCTGTCTTTATCAGTCTCGCACATCATTTTGGAAGTATTTTGTCCCCCTCTCTCTTACAACATTGCTTCAGTTCATTGAGGTTTGTGGGCATTTGTTTATGCACAGCTCTCCTGGACCTTGACTGGACCATTAAATACTGGATCATTGTCCTCCTCCGTGAAGCGATACAAGCCAAGCCTTAGCTGTCGAACAGATGGCCTCACTTCTGGCTCTGGAACATTTTGGTCTACAGAAGAGTTCTTGGTCAACTTAAGTTGCCCAATTCATGTGGCTGCAAAATAAGTCCGAATCATCAAACCTCTAACACCATGCTTGACAGCTGGTATGAGGTGTTTGTGCTGATACACAGGCGCCGTGTTTGGTTTTCACCAAAAACGGCGCCTGTGCATTCTGCCCAAACATCTCTACTTTGGTCTCGTCTGTTCAAAGGACATTCTTCCAAAATCTTGTGGTTTGTCCAGATGCAAGTTTACAAACCTAAGCAGAACTTCCATGTTCTTTTTAGAGAAAAGAGGCTCTTGGCAAATCTTCCAAGCAAGACATAGTTGTTAGTCTTTTTCTCTTTTTCTATTTGTGCTGTCATTAACTTTTTTACGTTAACATGCTAACAGAGGCCTGCAGAACCTAAATTGCAGCTCTTCTGTTTTATGCAGTTCCTATAAAACTGCATGATCTAACTGTCTGGAGCGAATTTGCTGGGATGTCTGCTTCTGGGAAGACTGCAGCACTGTGTTAGTGCCCACCTCAAGAGGTCAGGACCAAAGAACAGTTTTTATAGAGATGTTCACACTTGCTGATATATCAGTTTTATAAAGTGCCATGCCAGGGTGCTACTTACCCTCTGAATTCCTATGAAAGCAGTAGGGGTGTGCTTAGTTTTTCCACATAATTGAATGGAGTCTTGTGAAAACTTTCATTTTCACATGACTATATGTTGTATGCAGATCTGCAGGAACGTACTTGGTTTTTGTTTTATACTTAAAGTCTAATTGCCAAAATGCAAACTGGATCTTCATCTTTCTATTATTATTTTTTTAAAATACCTTTTTTAGTAAACAATGGCTGGTTGACAAAATTGGAAGTCTGCGCCTCAGTATCCATTATCCACTATTCCAGATATTGACTGCTTTCACCAGAAATACTGACTGTTGCTCCTAGAGGGATAGGTCAGCAGAGAAGCTGATTGTTTTCCCAGGTTGCTGAGTGCATGACTTCATATGCTGTAGGTATTCCTGTGAGTATGTTCATTATGTTTATCTTCCGTATAATTAAGCAGTGTGGGCATCGTGATAACTACAGTTCTGAATAAAGTAATTATTTAATTATGAGCAACTCAATCCATACGCATGTAGCCCCTTCACCACCCAAATTAAATCTTTCCCCCATTTCATGTATTCACATGTATTTTAGCAACCTTTACTAAAAAGGTTAAACGGATAAAAACAAGACACAGCTTCATTCTTCACTGTCACAGGAAAATGACAGGCACCACGCTGTACACAGCACAATCTTTTTTTTCCTAATTGACCACAAAGGAGCGTGTCTCCACTAACGATAGTTAACACTGAGGCATCAGGCGTGCCTGTTTAAAATTCAGTTACCATGGGAACCCTAGCCTAACATCGTCTGTCAAGCGTATCAAAATAAGATAAAGAAAATGACAAAAAATGAGAGAACAGCCTGTAGGCATTATTTTGCTAGTTGACACATACACAATGCGTGAGAGGGAAGAAGAGGTGAACCATCACATGGCACTGAGCTCAAGATTGTGACAGCTCGTGTAGAGGTAGGCATGCTGAAGTGGTGGGTGGAAGAGGATGACCAACAGTTTCAAGTTGGATGTCAGGCTTGTAGTCTGCATTCAAATGCCTGTCGTGAACACAGGAGGTCAGCCGAACAAGATGTAGATATATGGCAGTGTATCGCTTTGGAGGGATTATGTTTGTGTTTGATCATACAAGACACAGAAATAAGTTAGACTAGTGTTTAATCGCGTTACACCCTTAGGGAAGAGAATATTTTTGCTTTACAAATCTGATCTAACCATATCAAATGTGATATACAACGCGGCTGTTAAAGTGATTATTTTATGGCTTTCAATACACTGTAAATGGCAACATGGTATTCTCAGTACATGTCATAGGTCTTCAAGCTTCTCATCTGATCATACCTCAAAATAAATGTCTGTCTTTATGAGTAGTTTGAAAATTCACTTTCATGATTATAATAAAGCTGTACAGCACTTTTTCAGCCCAAGCAAAATCGAGCAAGCCACTCTACTTTTAAGATTAAACTTGAAGCTTTTGTTATTGATGAAGCGTATGGTTAGAGCTGGATCAGGTGATCCTAAAACCCCCCTACAGGCCTAGGTTGCTGTGAACATCACATATTTCACTGAGCATTTCTTCTTCACCTCTTTTCACTCTCTTTGTCTTCATACCCCACTCTGTACTTAATCATTATTACTAAACTCTGGCTCTCTGCAAGTCTTTCTTTTGTCTCGTCTCCCTCCCCTCACTCCTAGCAGGTCATAGCCCCTCCCTAAGCCTGGTTCTGCCAGAGGTTTCTTCCTGTTAAAAGGGAGTTTTTCCTTCCCACTGTCACCAGGTGCTTGCTCATTGTAGATCTTTACCTTACAATATAAATCACTTTGGGGTGACTTGTTGCGACTTGGTGCTATATAGATAAAATTGAACTGAACTGAATTACCTTTACAGTGTCTGTTAGGTTTTAGAAGTTACAATGCTTTACCTCAGAAAATGCATTTATGCAGGTTCTAAGATTGTTATGATGATTATTGATTTTTTTGTACCTGTGTCAAACTGTGCAACCAATTGTTAAAGGAGGGATCTCCAAAAGAAAAACAAATGATGTGATGTCTTCCTAGATCGGGCATTGTCTACTGTCGCACATCATTTGTGATGATAATACAGTGACAGCTTATTACATGCTGCTTGTTATCCATAATATGTCTTTGAAAGCTTCTGTTACTTCGAAGCAATATGAGTTTATCCTGTGGAGAATTCCCCGTTGGCTGTGAAAAGACCACTGGCTATGCTTCAATGAGCTATTACAAATCGATCATAGGATGACTTAAAATAGGACTCAAGGGAGAATTGCATCAATGTGTGCTAGTCTAAACAAGCACTCTTGCTGAATTTAGGTGCATAAAAAGACACATACGAAGGTGTTACCCGTCAGTCTATCACATGATGACCTAAAAGGATGTGTGTGTGTGTGTGTGTGTGTGTGTGTGTGTGTGTGTGTGTGTGCGTGCGTGCGTGCGTGCGTGCGTGCGTGCGTGCGTGCGTATTGATTGGTGACAGACTGCACAGAAGCTGCACATTAACCAGAAAGTGTGAGACTTGCATATAACCTTGCAAGTCTCACACTCTTAGTTTAGGAGTTCGCTTGAATATCTGCTACCTGTCACACATTAGAGGAAGTTGCTCTGTGGAAAATGTACCATGTAATTCTCTTACTGTACTGCTTGCAGTCAAACTTCTAGCAGCACCATGACAAAAACCTATATAACAGTTATTCAATATTTTTTTCCTGTAAGTGTTCACCTAAACATACATCTACACAAAGAGGCATTGCTCTAAATGAGGGACGCGAGGAGCACCACTATGACTGCGTATAGTTACGATTGTTATATGCACCAGGGAGACCAAAAGTGGATCAGGTGAAAGGAAAATGAGATTGGAGGATGCATGAAGGGACAGAGGTGTGATGGACAGATGGATGGATTTTAGATCTATTTCCCCCCCCCCTTCTTCATTCTGCCTTCTCAGTTTCTGAAATTCTGAGTCTCAGAGATACTGTAGCCTGCGGTGTGGCTGCACACAAGCCAGAGACACAAGGACTGGCAGTCTGTTTGAGTATGTGGGTGAACAGAAGGAGGCATTACTTATGATGATAACTTTTTGGAAGTGTTAAAATAAAGCTTGCGTTGTGGTTATTTTATGTTTTTGTGTGTATTTTGCTTTCCTTTCTTTTTTACTGTTTGCCTCGGTGAATTCTCTTTGTTGTTCCTCTGCTTGGCAAACTTTTACTGTAGCAGCTGAGCTATTAAGTTCTCTATGAAAAGGAGACGGGAAGGGGGAGGGGTGATGTAATAACTCATTGTTTTAATCAATCTTTAGCTCTGATGTGCAGTTTACAGATTCACCTTGCGAAAGTGAGCAAATTTTAAAAACCAAATTTTCAAAATAATGGCATAAAAATGGACAATTACCCCCTACACCTGTTGCCTTTTTCTGAAAACGCAATTTGAATCAGTGCACCTTTTTTCTTTATTCATTGTTATAAATGTGCCGTTTCAATCGAAAAAAGTAACAACTGCCGTCCTTCTACTTTCCGAGCATTTTCATTAAATAGCCCACTTTTAAACAGTGCAGTTGACATATTCAGGAGACCTTTCCCTTGCCTCGGCGCCCACGCCTGCCCCCTCTGCCACACCCGCGACAATACACTTCAATTAGCTCATTATCTTGAGCATCAGCTGTTAGCTCCATAGACATAGAGAAATAATAATCCTCTCTCTCTCACACACACACACACACCGGCATTTCCAAGAATAGGTCTGAACAATTGTACGTGGGTTGTATGTTTTTAGCGAGGGAGCTGACCAGACGTTATATGATTCAGTAAGCCGATAAAGGTGCACTTGCTTCTTGCTGGGCCTTGATATGCATGGAATAAAGGGTGCCCTCATTCCATGCAGCTTATTAAACCAGCCTGCCGACCATATTGGTCGTATTAAGGCTAATGTGGCAACACCCTCTTCATCCGCCCATGACACTTGAGGAACAAAAGCAGTGTCTTTACGGAGCATGCAGGACGCGTATTCGCGCAAAGCTATAATCACCGGTGTGTGTGATGCTTCTCGCCTCCAATGTCACTTCGTAATACCCGGTAAATGCAGCATGCACCTGTTCCGCTGTCATCCGCGTCGTATGAGACAAACAAATAAACATGCATACCTGTCCTGTCAGAGCTGGGTGTCAGGCTTCAGCCCAGATTCTGATCATTGAGATGAAGGGAACTGGAAGACGGACGCCGCCACCGCCCCGGAGAGCCTTTTTCTCTGCCTCGGGAGATGCAGCCCTGCAGGCTGGGACGGAAGATAGGCACAAGCCGGCAGGGATGGCTAGCAGTCGGAACGGCTAGGAGGACAGAGGAGAGGCGGTGTAAGCAAGGGAACTCCTAACGTCGTGCGTAATGTGAGGACCGCTCTGCTCGTGACACGCAGCGTGTCTTATCACTTGCTTTACTGGTTTTCGGGTCATCTTATCCCGCTGGAAGGCTCGGTAATGGGGGGGTGGGGGGCTGCTGGCTGGAAAAGAATTAATTCTATAGCCTAATTTCACTGCAATCTAATAAATTACAAAAGCCATTAGTAAATTTGGAAGATTATAAAAGAATTGAGTGCAGTTAATATAGATGCTTACTGCATTATAGGGAGGAATTATATACGTGTTGTCTAGTCATATGTTATCACACTTAACGATCACTTAAAAGCTGGAAATACCAACACTATGGGTCAGTTTAGGCTTAATAAGAAACGGATTCAATTCTTCCCTTCAGCAGCTGAAAAAAGTTAATGGCCCAAGCCCTCCAGTCAAGCCCTCCAGTTTTGTTTTGTTTGTTAAATAAGTCAATAAAAGAAACCAAGTTGAATATTGTTCAAAGTCAGTAACCTAGTAAATGCTGCTGTTTCCTTTCAAAAATCATATTCGTTCGACTTAATTGGACTTAGTGTTTTTATCCTGGTCGTCCACGCCCAATCTGCAGTGACTCTGTGGCCCATCAGAGGGCGCCTCTGTTTGAGCCACTGTGTTAAGATTAGTTTGAGATCAGGTTAAGTGTAAAGGCAATACTGATGGGAAGCAAACTTCACAAGATGATCCCAGAATTTTCTCTGGCAGGCGTCATTACACTGAAGAGAGCTGCCTTTCCTTTTTCATCATTACCTGCAAATACAGCTCCCTTAATCTTTGCATGATACAATTACAAACATATGTGACAAGGTTTAACCCCTCATATTATTTTATATTCAGGAGTTTTTCAAAGCCCATATCTCACAAGGTTAAGTAAAAACTGCCACACTGTTCTGTGCAAAGCAAGCACTGTGCTGAATGGATGGAGGCTCTGTGGGTGATGTATTGCAATGGTGAGTCATAGGAACCTTCTGTGCTGAACGCCCTCTTTGGCTTCATGCACAAGTGTGTTCTGTTGAAATGCAAATATGCATACAGGAAAATCAATTCCTTTCACGCTTCGCTGGGTCTGCTTCAGTTGGTTACAGGATATGCATAAAGGAGGGGTAAGATTTCTGGAGGAAAAACTAATGCTATAGGATATGTCTTGATGCTTTATTGCCAAGTTAGTCTGTGGTCTCTACAGTGACCAAGTACCCGCATCAGCATTTATTGGATATCAGAAGATTATTTACCTGTCTTTATAATAAGCTTAAGTCATGCAGAGTGGTTAGGATAATATTCCTCCACTTGGTGGCAGTCAATTACCAGCTTTACTCTTGTCACAGCCGCCACAATTTTTGGAATTTACTATAAAAATTTAAATGCTCCCCTTTAAACAAGGTGCATTTAAAACAGATCAAACTCCTAAAACTATTTCATTTGCTCTGCACCTGCAGTTTTTCTGTAAAACCACACGTATTCTGGCATGTGCCATGCTTTAATGGCCTGGTTGCGCACTCTTACTCACCGTTTTCTCTGGAAGTTACCGCGTCCCAACATTCCTTTATTGAAGCTGTCATATTCCCTGATTGACAAATCAAAAGGTATAAATGACAAATATAAAATCCTTTCATGACCATGTCCCTGTACAGTTATATGTATTATATATTTACTGGATTGTTTTAATATTAGGCAGCCAACTTTACGAGTTTCTTTTGTGAAAATATAATATACACAGCTCAGTATATTTTTCTTCAAAGAAAAAACTGCAAACAAAAATGTAAACCTCAAAATGTTTCTTGCAATCTTGTAAATACACACTTTCCAACCAGTATTAATATAATAACTGCACATGTCTGTCTTCACATTATAAAAGTTGCATTATCCATGTAATTCAATAAACCGACAAATGGAAACATTTATTGTATTTTAGTAATATAAAAAATGATTATGGGCCAATATCCAACTTTATTAATTTAACTTCCTTTTTCTCTGTTAATTAAAGCAAATACATTTTTAACATAACTTTTATTTTCATTGTACTGCAATTTAAGTTCCTGTCACTGCTGCATTGACCTACTGGTGACAGTAGACCCTGAAATGAAAATAAGTTAAAAACAGGAGCCAGCGATTATTCTAGTGGGTTGTTTTTTTCTTTCTTTCTCCAGAGCTCTCAGACTCATGTATCTCACAGGGGACAATCCCACAGGGAATTGCCAGTAATTTAAAAGGTTAAATTACAAACAAAAAAAGACTACACTATGGCTCATTCCCATATGGCTCCATTTTGGCAATAATGTGCTTCTACTGAGGGCCATTTTTTTGTTAAAGGGCTTTCTCAGGTCATACATGTGAACTGTACATGTAAGCTCAAAGGCTGATTGCATAAGTATTTGTATACATGCTGAATAATACATCATAATCTCTTTAATAAGTATTTATGGATTAAGCTACTATAAATGTCCTCATATAACTGTGAAACTGCTACTACAATAACAAATGTTTTCTTCCTTTTTTTAGTTTATTGAAGTAATGTGGTAACAGAAAGGAGGATTCAGCTTAGGCTCGCAGTGCTCCAAACATCTGCTATTCCTACAACATGTTACTGAAAACATCTTGAGCAGAAATAGCCTCGAATCCGTGCTCTTTGCCAAGTTTGACCCAAGTGAGGATTTGATAAATAACTAGACCAGAAAATGGAAAATGGGAAATTTCAATTGTGTCACGTAACCACAGAGCAGTCCTCACATTCAGCCTCAATGACAGGGATTGAGATAGTTCAGGAATGCAGCAATTAAAGTAAGTGTGAGAAGCAGATGCTTGGCATGTGTTGGCATCTGAAAACGCTGGAAGATAAATTATTCGTGATAAGGCATTTGGTGGGTGAATCAAAATGTATGGTTGCTTGAAGCAATGCTGAGTTTTGGACACAGCTGGTCTTCACCTAAAAGTCTGTCTGGTGTGTATTCTTTACCATTGTTAATACCCTTGCATATTGTTTTCTGCAGCATGGGAAGGAAACAGGATGAGAAGCCATCTGAAAGATCCTGAAGAAGGGGTGAACAAAATCACAGTAAAGCCATGAAACTAAATTAAGTGCACTCCTTTTTTCATACTTTCCAAAGAACTTCACAAACTGATTTTTCCCCAGCATGCATTCTTTAAAAAAAAACAAATAATTTAAATATACTGAAGTGGTGCATGTCTATATTCTCCATATGTTAACATAGACTCAAGTGAAAATACAGTGGCCGCTATTAGATCATTACATTCCCATTTTTTTATTTGGTTGTTGACAAAATTTTTAACATGAATGAAAAATTAGTCTACAAGATTCGTTTTTTTATTACTAATGTAAAAAAATAAAAATTAACGTTGCTTTGCTGTCGGGCCACGAATGCTTGACATGGCATTTCTGTTTTATGGGATAGTATGAAAGTGACGGTACTGCAGAAAATTACAAGAGACAGAGAAATAATATTTAGGCAATGACGGGCAGCCAAGTTTCTTGCCTGGATCTAATTAGCTGTTAACTGTAAACATCAAAGTCAGTGTACCTTCCACCGTCCTCTGTGAGGCACGTCCTTGGCCTCCAGATGTTTTAAGTCAAATCAGACAGCTCTGCAGGCTACACCTTGTACAAAAAAGAAGAAGAAGAAAAAAGACTGTAACATCACTGTTTTAAAACATTTTTGCATTTACAGAGTGTCTTTTTCTGCTTTGCTAGATTCTGGGTGAACTAAAAAAGAAAATGGTTATGAAGGAATAAAAGCAAAACTCTAGTGCAGGTGCACAGGGCATTGCTGTTCCCATAAAATTCCCTGTGGGTGTGAGAGTCATGAGCTTATTCTCTTCATCTCTCTGCGGATCCACAATGGTGAGTGAATTTACAATCTTGGTTGCTGTGGTTTACACATATCGAGTGAAAAGGGAAGTTGCACTAACTCTTCCACTCATTCTCTCTTCATCTTGTTCAGCTTTGATCACTGCCTTCAAACACTGAAAGGAAAAAAAGGATTTAATTGATTTTCTATAACCCAGAAATAACAGAGCTCTTGTTTTCTTTAATATGATCTAAATCTAGCTCATTGCTGGACACAGTAATAAATAAGGTTTTATATAGTGAGATGGTTGTCATGATTTTCCAGCAGAGTTGTTTTTCTGCAGTTTGTTTGACTTGTGACCAAATAAACACTGAGAAGATTTCTGTCAGCATCTCTTGTTTAAAAGCAAACATGCTTTTACAAGCTTTCAAAGTAAACTAGTGTTGTTGTTGTTGTTGTTTTGTTTTGTTTTGTTTTGTTGTTTTTTTCATGTACTGATCATCATTGAGATTCTGGGCTTTGGTATTGTGTTTGCTTTCCAAGTATTCTAAAATACTGTTTGGGAAATTTATGCACATTTTTGTATGTTTAATTATATTAGAACTATTTATGTACATAAACATATAATTAAAATAATAATAATTGCCTTTATGTAAGAAATCAACTTGGGAAGTTTAAATTGTATTAGCTTTTGATTTAAATGTGAACCATTAAATGGTGCTTTTCAATAAAAATGTGTAAAGTCATAAAATACTTATTTTTATTTAAACCCCTTTAACTTAAAACAGCTGCTTCTTGTACTATGACCCTGCAAACTTTAGTAGTGTTTCTATGTTGTCTCTGTGGGGAGTTTGTTCATGTGTTATTCAGGCATTAATTTATATGACAAAAACCCAAATATCACATTTAAAAATGACTTTTGGTGGCAGTTTTCTCCAGTTTGGAAGTTTCCAAACTGCTCTCTATTAAAAATGTTTGACTCTAACATGTCAATGAAATGACACAATAACTTTGTACTTACAATAATTAGGGGAAATGATTTGTTCTGCTTTTTTTTAACCCATCCATCTATAGGGTCTCGCTTTGGTAAACGTGGAAAACATTATATCTGCTAAACATCAGCTTGTTAGAATGCTCAGTATGGCTCAAACATCCCGGGGCCTTGACACACAACCTGTTATTGAGATCTGGAAGGTGTTCATTTAAACCGATCTGCAAGCTGCAACAACCTTACCATATCACGCTGCAGACAAACATCTGTATTGTCTGGAGAAGCATAAATCTGCCAT